TTGTCTGAAGACTTAACTGGTTGGCTTGCAGACTAAATGGTTGGGTTCCAGACTAACTGGTTGAGTTGCAGACTAACTGGTTGGGTTGCAGACTAACTGGGTGGTCTGAAGACTAACTGGTTGGGTTCCAGACTAACTGGTTGGCTTGCAGACTAAATGGTTGGGTTCCAGACTAACTGGTTGAGTTGCAGACTAACTGGTTGAGTTGCAGACTAACTGGTTGAGTTGCAGACTAAGTGTTGCTCTGAAGACTAACTGATTGGTTTGCAGACTAACTGGTTGGTCTGAAGACTAACTGGTTAGGTTGTAGACTAACTGGTTGGTCTGAAGACTAACTGTTTGGGTTCCAGACTAACTGGTTTGGTTCCAGACTATCTGGTTGAGTTGCAGACTAACTGGTTGAGTTGCAGACTAAGTGTTGCTCTGAAGACTAACTGATTGGTTTGCAGACTAACTGGTTGGTCTGAAGACTAACTGGTTAGGTTGTAGACTAACTGGTTGGTCTGAAGACTAACTGTTTGGGTTCCAGACTAACTGGTTTGGGTTCCAGACTATCTGGTTGAGTTGCAGACTAACTGATTGGTTTGTAGACTAACTGGTTGGTCTGAAGACTTAACTGGTTGGCTTGCAGACTAACTGGTTGGGTTCCAGACTAACTGGTTGAGTTGCAGACTAACTGGTTGGGTTGCAGACTAACTGGGTGGTCTGAAGACTAACTGGTTGGGTTCCAGACTAACTGGTTTGGTTCCAGACTATCTGGTTGAGTTGCAGACTAAGTGTTGGTCTGAAGACTAACTGGTTGGTTTGCAGACTAAGTGTTGGTCTGAAGACTAACTGGTTGGTTTGCAGACTAAGTGTTGGTCTGAAGACTAACTGGTTGGTTTGCAGACTAAGTGTTGGTCTGAAGACTAACTGGTTGGTTTGCAGACTAAGTGTTGGTCTGAAGACTAACTGGTTGGTTTGCAGACTAAGTGTTGGTCTGAAGACTAACTGGTTGGTTTGCAGACTAAGTGTTGGTCTGAAGACTAACTGGTTGGTTGGAAATCTTTGTTCTTGTTTTGGTGACCTGTCTGGTTCTTCTGTCTTGTTACTAAGTTGATGCACACCTTGCAGCCAATCACAATCCAGTATTCTCAGTACTATATTTATACCACAGTGGCACCATGTAGTAGTACTACAGTACTACACTCTATTAAATTATACTACTCCGTACTGTACCACACATACTGACCTCCACTTGACATACTATAGTATACTGCAGTGTACTTTTATACTGTACAATACAGCACAATTATAATATACAATACTGTGTATATTCTGGATAACCAGTCGGTCTCGCTCCCTGTAGGACTGGGTAAACTGGATAATCCGGCCCTGATGCAGCAGTGGTTCCAGTTGGTCCAGCAGAAAAACTCTCTGGTTCGATATGAATCTGAACTCATGATTTTGTGAGTATCTGACCTTTAAATCAAGCATCAGGTTCAGGTTTACCAGGATGATTCAGGACTGGATCTGGTTTTCTGGTCTCTGCTGTGTTTCAGTGCTCGGGAGTTGGAGCTGGAGGACCGACAGAGTCGACTGCAGCAGGAGCTCAGAGAGCGGATGGCCGTGGACGGTAACATCATACTGTTTCTGATATAAATCCTAAAAACTGTCCTCAGGAGATAAACACCATTTAACACACGATGCTGTATCCATAGAAACATCAGAGAGTAACAGATCAGCTAGGTGGCGACTCACGTAATCATTTAGAGATTTAGATCAGCTCATAACAGAACAGAAGTGATGTCTAACTCTAGATTAGATTTTTAGATTCTAAAGAAATTTTTTTCAACATTAGTAGGTTGGACAGAATCTGCTGCACGGACAGAAAAATTTGTGTGAAACAGGTTTGCAGAGGTGGAGGCTTCTTTACCTCCTTGTACAACCTGTCCTCTCTACATTCATAGACAAAAACATTCATACTTTTAGGATTTTAGACTGGGAGGTTTTGAGGAGGTCCGAGGTGTGGATGAAGACCACCTGATCCATAATATAGCCATCTGTTGGTGCAGACGTAAGGCACGTAGAGTCCGTGGTTTGAATGCTTCTCCAGATATTAAAGACTATCCAGCGAAACAGTCTGGTGAATATTAACCCTGTGTGTCCGGTCTGTCCTGGTTGTGTGCAGACCACCTGAAGGAGGACTGGGAGCTGCTGGAAGAGCGTCTGATCCTGGAGGAGATGTTGGAGGTGGTGGAGCAGAGAGACTCCCTGGTGTCTCTGCTGGAGGAACAAAGAGTGCAGGAACGGCAGGAGGACCAGGACCTTGAGGAGGTCATGATGAACCGAGGAATGGGACTCAGCTGGACCTGAACCTGGGGGGTTTTCTGTAAAAACCTGAACTGGTCTGCATTGATGTCATAATAACTACAAAACTGACTTTATCGAAGATTGATGTCAAAACCATTTCACGTTACTGTGATTCCATGAAACCAGGAAAACCTTCCCAACAGTCCAGACCTGTTTCTGGACCTGATCTGAAGCGGACTTGTGGAAACCCAAACCAAACTTCTTCCGTCTTCCTTCTTCTTCCAATCAAATGTGCCGGGTCAGACCCAGAACAATAGCTTCCCAACTGAGTTTGACTAATTGTTCAATAAATTAACTGAATAAATTTAAATGAAGTCCTTTGTGATGTCGGACATCAGACCTGATGAGTCTGCAACAGTTTCTGACACTGGATGTTAGCTAATAAGCTACAATAGCTTCCCCTCTTTTGACTCTCCGGCTTGCCGTCCTGTCAGGATGGCTTGCTGGGTAAATGCAGCTGGTGTGTGAACTCGGCACGTCTCTTTAAAATTAAACACCAGAATTTAAAAAGTTTAAATAAACTAAATTATGTTTAAACTAGTTGTTCTGACGGTTAGCATATCCACCAGCCAGCAGGGGGCGCTGCTCGGTTACTGTCAGTCACCTCCATTGGAACCATTTAGATCTCTTTTGATCCAACAACACATGGAGCACGTGGCGTTTGCTGTTGAGCTAATCCCTAACATGCTAGTTTGATGGAAACATGCTAGTGCTAGCCAGCCATAATAGCCTGCCAAATTAGCTAGCACGCGTGACGTAGTGCTAACTACCAGTTAGGGGAGCATCTATGTTCTGTATGTTCTTATTATGAAACATTAAGAGACCTTCAAAGGATTTTATGTTCGCAGCAACTCGCTCCTCTCCTGGCCTCACCTGAACCCGGTCTGTCCTGGTCTGAACTGCTGTAAATCACCCCCTACTGTATTCCCTGTCGTCAGTCTGGCCTCCGTCGGTCTCAAAGACTGTGTTCGGACCCAGTCCATGTTCACAGGGAGGCTGCTGAGCCTGGTTCCCTAGTGCGCTCAATCGGCTCCGGTCTGGTACTAAGTCTAGCGCCCCTCTCCTCGCCCTGGGCCTTAAAACCTCCTCCTCCCAGAGGTCCAAAGCTCCCGTACTAGTGGCGTAAACCAACACCGACCCTCCCCCGGTGCTCCGATCTCCCAGGCCGGGTAGAGTTTCAGGTTTTAGTTGCAGACTGAAGGGGCCCCAGTTTTTTCCAGGTGAAATGTTCAGTTTGTGTTTCCCCAGGTCAGGATGTTGGAGTTAGTTTGTAGCCTACTGATGTTCCTCTCCCTCTAACCCAAACCCTGAGATTGTGGCGAAGACTTTAGACGCTGTCCACAGTGGCTGAACAGATTTTTACCACTGCATTTAAACCGTCCACCCCGCTTCGATCTTTGAAATAGGACCCTGGGAGCTCAGGGCTGAGCCGCCTGTACAGCATCTTACAGACTTCAAACCCGTCCTGAGTACAGAAGTGCTTCTGCACACAAGAACACAAATGACTTCCTGTAACCAGAGTAACTGTGTGTGGTGACCGGGCTTCAGCTGTGTTGGTGTTTAATCAAAGATTCAGTATTAAATCGAGGTTCAGCAGGTTATTAAAGTTATTCTGACATTTTGATTACTGTGCCAACTTCATCAGCTGTTGATCAGTTCTACCAAACTTCACCTATCAGCCTTACTTCACCTGATCACCTGATCAATATGTGTTTATTAATCCTGTTCATGTAAAACCATTAAGTCGTGTGTCTGTGGTGAGCTGATGCTCATAATGCAACTTTAACTGCAGCCTTCTTGGATAATAAAATATTCACATCAGGTTTCTGGTTGTTGGGTTTTATTTCTGTCGGACTGCAGAGTGTCAACACGGATCAGCCTGAGACGGGATTGTGGACTGCAGTACTCTGTGATCAGGTCACATGGCAGTCTGTGATCCCACAGGTGCTCTGAATGAAACAAGGTTTAACCCAGTTGTAGGTGACGATCTCCTGTGGAACAACAGGGGACGAAGCCTCCTGGGTCTGTTTGGAAGCTTTGAGTTCAAAGGTTCTGCGTTTCGAGTCTGAGGCAGTCTGCAGGAAGAGCAACTTCCGATTTCACAGCGACACCACTTCCTGTGTACACGAGGAAGTTCAGCCCCTGACAGAGACAGTGATGGTGCGCTAACACAGCGCCGAGTCTGTCCTCAACTGCTCCAGGACCTGTTTCAGACTCTCCCTCAGGACCAAAACCTCATGACACATGAACAGCTGACCTCATCAACGAGGACCAGGACCCCGCCTGCAGACCTGATCCTGATTCTGATTTGTAGTTTTTTTACATATTGTAAATAAACTGATTGAGATGAACACGCTGCCATGTGCACGTGATGTTTACGATGACAAACGTGTTTGTTCATGACTGTAAATATATAACGAGTCAAACACGTCAGAGTGTTTTATCTGGTCCTCGAAGTCTCTGCAGACCTTTGGTCCACTCTCTGGTTGTAAGCTTGAATTAGGTGCTTGATCTTCAGCGTTCTCTCTCTCATCAAAATAAATAATAGTAAATAATAAAAATAAACTCATTTAAACTGATGTTCCTTATTCGGACCTGATGCTGTTCTCATGCCTGTCAGTCAGAGATCAGGGCCGGTGCTCGTGTTGAGGTGGATTAATGACTCTGAGCTCATCAACAAGGCCAGCAGGTGACTCATTAACTTATTTACTGCAACATCTGTTGTTCGATGACTACAGGACTCTGCGTGCTGATTGGTCCATTGGTATAACCACAAAGTGTTCCACCAATGATGGATCCAGCCCGCACAGAGGCACACTGACCCTGGACCTGAACCTGGACCACTGGCTTATCAATAAACACAGCAGATGGGAAATATGGGAAGATGACGTCATCACGTTCACGTTCACGTTCGTGCTGCAGGGGGCCGTCAACAGGACCTTCCTCATCCTGGATCTGCTGCTCGTCTTCATCACCGCTCCCGGTCTGAGGACGTGGCAGACCTATGGGCGGGACCGCGACCAGGGACGCAGCTGGGACTTTCCTCACCGAGGACTCGCTCCTTCCGCGGCCAACAGCCAATGAGAAGCCAGTGCGATGACCGAGCCCTCTGACGTCATTGAAGTAAAGTCATGAAGTGGACCAATCGCAGCGGGAGAAGTGTTCCAGCCGGCCCCGGATTGGCTGCGGGAGGACGGGAAGTGTTTGTGTGATGGTCGGAGGAGAGAAGAGAGCCGCGAGCCCAGCAGGACAGGAACAGCGTCCAGGTGCACGAGCTCCAGCCACGCAGGTGAGAGCTCAGCTGTTTGTGGGTGTGTCTGTGAGCTGTGCTGGTTTTTACGGGACTGGCTGACGAACCAGAACCAGCTCCAGTCTGAGGACCGGAGGATCTGAGCTGTCCTCAGTCCCCGCAGGTTAACGGTCTCTCTCCATTTCCCGGTGTGCGTGTTTGTACCGCAGGACAGACTCTGGTGGGTTTTCACTGCTTAGGAAGAGACCTGCTGGGTTTCAACATCACGGCGAGTCTCGATCCATTCAGGCAGGAGAAACTGGCTGCAGATGAAATAAAGGTGTTCACAGGATGAAACCTGAGTAAGAAGTACTTCAGTAGAAGTATCTCTGCTGTAAAATATACTCGGTCCTGTAATGAAGAAGTATCAGAGATCAAAGTAAGCAGTACTTTAATCTTACGTGATGTACTGTTGGGCTTTAATCTGTGAAGTGATCGTTTATTTCCTCTTCAGCTGGAAGTACTATCATTCCCTCTGACATGCAGTACAAGTACACACTCGGTAAAACAGCATGAAGTACCTGTGAGTAAAAATACTTCATTTCCAGCACTGCTGCAGCGTTTCTAGAGCAGTAATTTAATGTTACTTCATATACTGGTATAGTATTTATATCCTTTATACACGCTCTGCATGGCGTACAGTGGACAGATACTTCAGTTAAAGTACCACGTGACCCAGAGCGTTCCCACAGTTCCTTTAGTTCAGATCAGTCAGCCTGCGTCTCAGTTTCTCCTCACAGCTCATTGTCAGAACGAGAGAGATGAAATGTCCTGTGGCTGAGAACAGCCTGCCGTCTGCTCTGTGGATTTATACAGCTGGTTTTTGGACACGTTTCAGATTAAAACATTAAAGATCATTTAATCACACCTGCATGAAGGGTTAACCCGCTGCGGTTCTGACCCGTGCAGGTCCGACATGTCCCCGTGGCCCTGTCAGCCCTGACCCCTCTGAGTCTCTGTCCCGCAGGATGATCCGCCCTCTGCTGATGTGCGTCGTCCTCTGCGTCGTCTCCGGCAGCAGCAAACCCACAGAGAAGAAGAGTCGGGTTCACGATGAGGAACCTCTCAGCCTCGTCGAGCACGACGACCGCAAGAACTACGACTACGACCACGAAGCCTTTTTGGGTCGAGATGAGGCCAAAACCTTCGACCAGCTGCCCCCGGAGGAGAGCAAGCGGCGGCTCGGGTGAGTTCAGACGCCGCCGGCCTGTCGGCTCGCTGCTGTCGGTCATCTCTCTGTGTTTGAACAAAACGCCGCCGTGTCTCCCTGCAGCATCATCGCGGAGAAAATCGACGGGAACAAAGACGCTTCATCTCGGAGGAGGAGCTGAAGGTTTGGATCAAATCCGCTCAGAAGAAGCACATTTACGACAGCGTGGAGCACCAGTGGAAAGACTTCGACGTTAACGGCGACGGGCTGATCAGCTGGGAGGAGTACAAGAACGTGACGTACGGCAGTTACCTGGGTAAAGAGCGCACCGGCCTGTTTCACCCCGTCACACTCCGAGTGAGCCTCTGATCACTAACCTGACCCGTTTCCTCTGACAGACGACCCTCAGGCGGACGCAGAGTATAACTACACCCACATGATGGCGAGGGACGAGAGGCGCTTCAGAGTCGCTGACGTAAACGGAGACATGAGCGCCGACAAGCAGGAGTTCACGGCGTTCCTCCATCCTGAAGATCACGAACACATGAAGGACGTTGTGGTGCAGGTGAGAGTGATGTCACCGAAGTCACTGACACGATGTCACTGACACGATGTCACTGACGCAATGTCACTGATGTCACTGATGTCACTGACACGATGTCACTGACACGATGTCACTGATGTCACTGACACGATGTCACTGATGTCACTGACACGATGTCACTGATGTCACTGACACGATGTCACTGATGTCACTGACACGATGTCACTGATGTCACTGACACGATGTCACTGATGTCACTGACACGATGTCACTGATGTCACTGACACGATGTCACTGACACGATGTCACTGACATGATGTCACTGACGCAATGTCACTGATGTCACTGATGTCACTGACGCAATGTCACTGATGTCACTGACACGATGTCACTGACACGATGTCACTGACATGATGTCACTGACGCAATGTCACTGACACGATGTCACTGATGTCACTGATGTCACTGATGTCACTGACATGATGTCGCGATGTCACTGATGTCACTGACGCAATGTCACTGACACGATGTCACTGATGTCACTGACATGATGTCGCGATGTCACTGATGTCACTGACGCAATGTCACTGACACGATGTCACTGATGTCACTGACATGATGTCGCGATGTCACTGATGTCACTGACGCGATGTCACTGACATGATGTCGCTGATGTCACTGACACGATGTCACTAACGCGATGTCACTGACGCAATGTCACTGATGTCACTGACATGATGTCGCGATGTCACTGACACGATGTCACTGACGCGATGTCACTGACGCGATGTCACTGATGTCACTGACACGATGTCACTGACACGATGTCACTGACGCAATGTCACTGATGTCACTGACGCGATGTCACTGACACGATGTCACTGACACGATGTCACTGATGTCACTGACACGATGTCACTGACACGATGTCACTGATGTCACTGACGCGATGTCACTGATGTCACTGATGTCACTGACGCGATGTCACTGATGTCACTGACACGATGTCACTGACACGATGTCACTGATGTCACTGACACAATGTCACTGACACGATGTCACTGACACGATGTCACTGACACGATGTCACTGACACAATGTCACTGACGCGATGTCACTGACACGATGTCACTGACGCACTGTCACTGATGTCACTGATGTCACTGACACGATGTCACTGACACGATGTCACTGACACGATGTCACTGACGCACTGACGCACTGTCACTGATGTCACTGATGTCACTGACACGATGTCACTGACACGATGTCACTGACGCAATGTCACTGACGCAATGTCACTGACGCAATGTCACTGACATGATGTCGCGATGTCACTGACACGATGTCACTGACGCAATGTCACTGACGCAATGTCACTGATGTCACTGACATGATGTCGCGATGTCACTGACACGATGTCGCGATGTCACTGACACGATGTCACTGACGCGATGTCACTGATGTCACTGACACGATGTCACTGATGTCACTGACACGATGTCACTGATGTCACTGATGTCACTGACACGATGTCACTGACACGATGTCACTGACACGATGTCACTGATGTCACTGATGTCACTGATGTCACTGACACGATGTCACTGATGTCACTGACACGATGTCACTGATGTCACTGACACGATGTCACTGATGTCACTGATGTCACTGACACGATGTCACTGATGTCACTGATGTCACTGACACGATGTCACTGATGTCACTGACACGATGTCACTGATGTCACTGAC